AGTGTGTATTTGTGGTAGGTGGGGGTTGATTAAGTGTGTATATGTGGTAGGTGGGGGTCTGATTAGTGTGTATATGTGGTAGGTGGGGATTGATTAAGTGTGTATATGTGGGATGTGGCGTTTGATTTAGTGTGTATTTGTGGTAGGTGGGGGTTTATTTAGTGTGTATATGTGGTAGGTGGGAGTCTGATTAGTGAGTATATGTGGTAGGTGGGGGTTGATTCAGTGTGTATATGGGGGGGGTTTGATTTAGTGTGGATATGTGGTAGGGGGGGTTTGATTTAGTGGGTATATGTGGTAGGTGGGGGTTGATTTCGGGTGTATATGTGGAAGGTGGGGGTTGATTTAGTGAGTATATGTGGTAGGTGGGGGTTGATTCAGTGTGTATATGGGGGGGGTTTGATTTAGTGTGGATATGTGGTAGGTGGGGGTTGATTTCGGGTGTATATGTGGAAGGTGGGGGTTGGTTTAGTGTGTATATGTGGAAGGCGGGGGATGATTTAGTGTGTATATGTGGTAGGGGGGGGTTGATTTAGTGGGTATATGTGGAAGGTGGGGGTTGATTTAGTGTGTATGTGGTAGGTGGGGGTTGATTTAGTGTGTGTATGTGGTAGGTGGGGGTTGATTTAGTGTGTATTTGTGGTAGGTGGGGGTTGATTAAGTGTGTATATGGTGGGACTTTGATTTAGCGTGTATATGTGGTAGGTGGGGGTTGACTTAGTGTGTATATGTGGTAGGTGGGAGTCTGATTAGTGAGTATATGTGGTAGGTGGGGTTTGATTTAGGGTGTATATGTGGTAGGTGGGGTTTGTTTTAGTGTGTATATGTGGTAGGTGGGAGTCTGATTAGGGTGTATATGTGGTAGGTGGGGGTTGGTTTAGTGTGTATATGTGGTAGGTGGGAGTCTGATTAGTGTGTATATGTGGTAGGTGGGAGTCTGATTAGTGTGTATATGTGGTAGGTGGGGGTCTGATTAGTGTGTATATGTGGTAGGTGGGGATTGATTAAGTGTGTATATGTGGGATGTGGCGTTTGATTTAGTGTGTATTTGTGGTAGGTGGGGTTTAATTTAGTGTGTATATGTGGTAGGTGGGGGTCTGATTAGTGTGTATATGTGGTAGGGGGGAGTCTGATTAGTGTGTATATGTGGTAGGTGGGGATTGATTAAGTGTGTATATGTGGGATGTGGCGTTTGATTTAGTGTGTATTTGTGGTGTGTGGTGGTTGATTTAGTGTGTATTTGTGGTAGGTGGGGGTTGATTAAGTGTGTATATGTGGTAGGTGGGGGTTGATTTAGTGTGTGTGTATGGTGGGGGTTGATTTAGTGTATATATGTGGTAGGTTGGAGTTGATTTAGTGTGTATATGTGGTAGAAGGGGGCTAATTAAGTGTTTATATGTGGTAGGTGGGGTTTTTGATTTAGTGTGTATATGTGGTAGGTGGGAGTTTAGGGTTTGGTATAGCAAATTTAGACTATAATCAGCCCTACTACAGGTGAAAGTTGCCAGTATGTTCCCTGTCATCACTACACTAAGGTCGAATTTCACACTGAATAACAGTTTTCTCTCTTATATATCTTTTGAAAGCACATTTTGATAATTTTTCCTGAATGTCATCTTCTTGGGACAAAAACACCCATTTAATCGTGTCAAGAATACATAAATTTGTACGTTTTTTACGTCGAAAATTCCCAATTACTGGAAAAGACCCTCTGTACACATGGACTTTATGAACAGCGCTAGGTCAACGCCAGCTTTACACGGAAGCTGAAATATGTATCCTGTGTTCTGTTACTAGGCATTAAACATGAGCAAGTGCATGGACTCATAATTCACGGAGAACACGCCCGTTTTCCTACTATTGTAGGTATTGATGGGCTGTATAGAGCACACCAGGAAAAAACACTAAGAAAACCTACATGTGTTGTATTTAACAGCCTTCTAAATCTGGCACCGCTGATTCTTGTCGGTACACATATATAAGGACTTCAAGAGTCAATGATCAACTTTGTTTTACGGTTACAATAATGACGAAACTCGTATTTTGATAGATATGTTACACGCCCACCCTTCGTTTTGTAGATAGTCGCTGTTACAACGAACTGTAAAGCATGATCCCTTTTCAATTATTTCACTCAAAAACTATCAGTGTCAAAAATGGGGTTCTGGTTTGTTTCGATTAGATTTGACATTATCTTGATGCAATTATTACCGTCACTTCACATTGATTGGTTCAAATATATTTACTGCCAAAAATAATGAACAATAGATTGGGCACGAGTTATCCCTTGTAAATACCTGGAGTTCCATTTGGCTTACATTTACCTGCCCTTTTGATCACGTGGACTTACTCCTGAGGTTCTCTAGCTACCTACCATCTGGGTAACCTTTGTTTTTCTCTCTTGATTATCTTTGCCTTTTCTCTTATACTATTTTCCTTCCCTCTATAACCTACTCTTTTGGTTACCTTTGCCTGTCATATTGTTTACATTTTAGTTATATCTGCCTCTCCACTTGGTTACCTTTTCCTATCGTCTTGGTAACCTTTGCCTATCCTCTAGGTTACCTTTGCCTATCCCCTTGGTTACCTTTGCCTATCCTCTGGGTAACCTTTGCCTATTCTCTAAGTTACCCTTGCCTATCCAATTTGTTACCTTTGCCTATCCCCTTGGTTATCTTTGCCTACTATCTCAGTTACCTTGGCCTATTCTCTTGTTTACCTTTGCCTATCCTCTTGGTTACCGTTGCCTATTCTCTTGGTTACCTTTGCCTATTCTCTTGTTTACCTTTTCCAATCCTCTACGTTACCATTGCCTATCCTCTTGGTTACCTTTGCTTATTCTCTTGGTTACCGTTGTCTATCCTCTTGGTTACCTTTGCCTATACTCTTGGTTACCGTTGCCTTTTTTCTTGGTTACCTTTTCCAATCCTCTGGGTTACCGTTGTCTACCTACCTACCATCTGGGTAACCGTTGTTTTTCTCTCTTGGTTAACTTTGCCCTTTCTCTTATACTATTTTCCTTCCCTCTATAACCTACTCTTTTGGTTACCTTTGCCTGTCATATTGTTTACATTTTAGTTATATCTGCCTCTCCACTTGGTTACCTTTTCCTATCGTCTTGGTAACCTTTGCCTATCCTCTAGGTTACCCTTGCCTATCCCATTTGTTACCTTTGCCTATCCCCTTGGTTATCTTTGCCTACTATCTCAGTTACATTGGCCTTTTCTCTTGTTTACCTTTTCCAATCCTCTTCGTTACCGTTGCCTATCCTCTTGGTTACCTTTGCTTATTCTCTTGGTTACCGTTGTATATCCTCTTGGTTACCTTTGCCTATACTCTTGGTTACCGTTGCCTATTCTCTTGGTTACCTTTTCCAATCCTCTGGGTTACCGTTGCCTTTTTCTATTGGTTACCTTGACCTATTATCTTGGTTACCTTTGCCTATCATCTTGGTTACCGTTGCCTTTTCTCTTGATTACCGTTGCCTATTCTCTTGGTAACCTTTGCCTATCCTCTTGGTTACCGTTACCTATTATCTTGGTTACCTTTGCCTATCATCTTGGTTACCGTTCCTTTTCTCTTGGTTACCGTTACCTATTATCTTGGTTACCTTTGCCTATCCTCTTGGTTACCGTTGCCTATCCTCTTGGTTACCTATCTTTTGCTACACTCTTTACTTTTGTTTATACTCTTCAGAGAAACGCTGTTTGCCAACACGGTCATCGTTTTAAGAATGGCAATGACCTTTCCTGCCTTCGCTTAGGGAAACAATGACTACACTCAGGGTAACAAAGACCTTCCTTAACTTCCATGAGAGAAGCGTTGACCTTCTTTAACTTCCCTAAGAGAAGCGTTGATGTACTAAATCAACGACTGTATTCTGTTGAAGGGTGTCTTGGTATCTCGGGAGTTGGGATGGGGTAGTGATCCATTAACAGAAAGTATTACCGGCACTAGATGAAATGTTACAGTTATTCCCGTGTGAGCTGGATCTGTACAACCCACCTTTACTTAGTACGAATAATTACAGAGTCGTTCTGATACACTGAAAGGATGTTTAATTCAGCACTTAAACGCTTAGATCACAATCTTAAGTGTTTGCCAAAGTTACCTTGCTGTTTTGTCGTTATTCTGTGTCTCTATGTGATCAACTACGCCATGAATAAAATTAATATTTTGAAGGACTTTTCTTTATTCTGTTTTGACTCGTGCAAACTTGTATTGATCTGTAACAACCCCAACCGTCCTGACGCTAGTCCGTGGACACAAGCTTATTTGTTAATATTACATAAAACAGCCCCGTAGTCCATTGTATATCCCAAAAGAACGGAAACGTCAATGCGCCTAAATATATATTTACGATGTATGCATTCGCCAGACAGAATGTATCAATATAGGGATTTGAATGGAACTAAAAGCCAAGGATATCAAAGAAAACAACCCTTAATTTTGATATTGAAATTCAAATATATATTTGTATGCAGACGAGTAAAAAGTTGAGCATACAGAGCTACACTACGTAAGTGTAATTGGGTATTTGTGATCAGATATCAGTGTTGGGTTTCCCATGTCGATACACATCTTTGCTGTACCTGTATACAAGTTACTAATGAATTGTATTTACTGCCACAAAGCTTGTGTGACGTAAGTAGGGTATATATCACCGTAACAATAGGTCTGTGCTCGTCCACCTTAGCCAGGTCTTTAATAGATGTACGGGCGTCAAACACAGGGCCACGTAAATACTTCTGTTTACATTAGTATGAGTATCAATTAAGGGGTTTAAGCCCACAAAGCGACGATAAGAACCACATAAGGACTTTAATCAGACGGAATTCCTATGTAACGTATATATAAAACAGATCTGTGACTTTTGGCGAATACCTATTGGCTGTATAGGATACTTGAACCTCTACATTCTTTTAATACACCCATATACATATTCACGATACGAGCAAACACAATGGAACGGACGGTCGCATTCTCCGGGAGCACCCAGTTGAGAAGAGTATTGTGAATCAGTGCCTTAAAGCTGTGCTTAACTTATTACAGTTAAACGATATATAGGAAGGCTGATGTAGACCGTAAACAAGGACACCTACACATGACGTATAGTTGCGGGTTCATTAAGCGCATCCTAGCTGATGGCGTTTCTTTGTCCCAGTCGGGTAGGCAGGAAAACTAAAGTGAGAACACCAAAGAAGAAAGGTAATTTATCTTGTGTACTTTACACAAATCACTTACTAATGAATGACAAGTTATAATGGATAAAATTTCACAGTAAATAAGGGTAATCTTTATCAGGGGTGATACTGAGGAAGGGAAATTGGATTTAACTAGACTTGAACCAGTTACTCAAACTACATGTAATGCTTTTTAGATCATGAATTTGAAATGAGCTAATTTAATTGAATAATTTAAATATCTAGACAGTTGACATAACAAGTTGGCTTTCCATTACACTGAGTACTGATCGTGTGTTTTAGTGAAATGTGGGAGTCGTTTATTTCTTGTTTCAATATAAACATAAACAGTATAATGAGTACACAAGTACTAATTAAACCCAATAATCGAAGTTACTTTCATTTCGTCAATATGTCAACAGTACCTGTTAACTCCATCACTGCGTTTGTCCTAATATTGTTATATGAGTGCTGTAGACATAGCGACCTGATCATAAGTCCAGAATATTCTCATCGTAATGGAAATTACGGTCGGAGTAAACTAGTCTAGATATCGAAAAAGTTGGATACAATTTAGGTAAAGGTACAGTTAAGGAAAAGGTACGGTTTAGAATTAAAACGAAATGTAAAACATTGGATACAGTTTAGGCAAAGGAACAGTTTAGTATTAACACGAAACGTAAAACATTGAATACAGTTTAGGCAAAGGAACAGTTCAGTATTAACACGAAACGTAAAACATTGAATACAGTTTAGGTAAAGGTACAGTTTAGTATTAACGCGAAACGTAAAACATTGAATACAGTGTAGGCAAAGGAACAGTTTAGTATTGACACGAAACGTAAAACATTGAATACAGTCTAGGTAAAGGTACAGTTAAGGAAAAGGTACGGTTTAGAATTAAAACGAAATGTAAAGCATTGGATACAGTTTAGGCAAAGGAACAGTTCAGTATGAACACGAAACGTAAAACATTGAATACAGTTTAAGTAAAGGTACAGTTTAGTATTAACACGAAACGTAAAACATTGGATACAGTCTAGGTAAAGGTACAGTTTAGTATTAACACGAAACGTAAAACATTGAATACAGTCTAGGTAAAGGTACAGTTAAGGTAAAGGTACAGTTTAGTATTAACACGAAACGTAAAAAATTGGATGCAGTTTGGGCAAAGGAACAGTTTAGTATTAACACGAAACGTAAATCATTGAATACAGTTTAGGTAAAGGTACAGTTTATTATAAACACGAAACGTAAAACATTGAATACAGTTTAGGTAAAGGGACAGTTTAGTATAAACACGAAACGTAAAACATTGAATACAGTTTAGGTAAAGGTACAGTTTAGTATAAACACGAAACGTAAAACATTGGATACAGTTTAGGCAAAGGAACAGTTTAGTATTAACACGAAACGTAAAACATTGGGTACAGTTTAGGTAAAGGAACAGTTTAGTATTAAAACGAAACGTAAAACATTGGATACAGTTTAGGTAAAGGTACAGTTTAGTATTAACACGAAAGGTAAAACATTGGATACAGTTTAGGTAAAGGACAGTTTAGTATTAACACGAAACGTAAAACATTGGATACAGTTTAGGTAAGGGTCAGTTTAGTATTAACACGAAACGTAAAATATTGGATACAGTTTAGGTAAGGGACAGTTTAGTATTAACCCGAAACGTAAAACATTGGTTACAGTTTAGGTAAAGGAACAGTTTTGTATTAACACGAAACGTAAAAAATTGGATACAGTTTAGGTAATAGAACAATTTAGTATTAACACGAAAGGAAAAACATTGGATACACTTTAAGTAAGGGAGAGTTTAGTATTAACACGAAAGGTAAAACATTGGATACAGTTGAGGTAAGGGACAGTTTAGAATTAACACGAAACGTAAAACATTGGATACACTTTAAGTAAGGGACAGTTTAGTATTAACACGAAACGTAAAACATTGGATACAGTTTAGGTAATAGAACAGTTTAGTATTAACACGAAACGTAAAACATTGGATACAGTTTAGGTAAGGGACAGTTTAGTATTAACACGAAACGTAAAAAATTGGATACAGTTTAGGTAAGGGACAGTTTAGTATTATCACGAAACGTAAAACATTGGATACAGTTAAGGTAAGGGACAGTTTAGTATTAACACGAAACGTAAAACATTGGATACAGTTTAGGTAAGGGACAGTTTAGTATTATCACGAAACGTAAAACATTGGATGCAGTTAAGGTAAGGGACAGTTTAGTATTAACACGAAACGTAAAGCATTGGATACCGTTTAGGCAAGGGACAGTTTAGTATTAACACGAAACGTAAAAAATTGGATACAGTTTAGGTAAGGGACAGTTTAGTATTAATACGAAACGTAAAACATTGGATACAGTTTAGGGAAGGTACAGTTTAGTATTAACACGAAACGTAAAACATTGGATACAATTTAGGTAAGGGAACAGTTTAGTATTAACACGAAACGTAAAACATTGGATACAGTTTAGGTAAAGGTACAGTTTAGTATTAACAGGAAACGTAAAACATTGGATACAGTTTAGGTAAAGGAACAGTTTAGTATTAACACGAAACGTAAAACATTAATATAGTTTAGGTAAGGGACAGTTTAGTATTAACACGAAACGTAAAACATTGAATCCAGTTTAGGTCAAGGGTCGGTTTAGTGTTAACACGAAACGTAAAACATTGAATACAGTTTAGGTCAAGGGTCGGTTTGGTATTAACACGAAACGTAAAGCATTGGATACAGTTTAGGTAAGGTACAGTTTAGTATTAACACGAAACTTAAAACATTGGGTACAGTTTAGGTAAGGTACAGTTTAGTATTAACACGAAACGTAAAACATTGAATACAGTTTAGGTCAAGGGTCGGTTTAGTATTAACACGAAACGTAAAACATTGGATACAGTTAAGGTAAGGGACAGTTTAGTATTAACACGAAACGTAAAACATTGAATACAGTTTAGGTCAAGGGTCGGTTTAGTATTAACACGAAACGTAAAACATTGGATACAGTTTAGGTAAGGGAACAGTTTAGTATTAACACGATACGTAAAACATTGAATATTTCTCTGAGTTTCTAAAACAACTCGTGGTTCCTGGTTTTGTGTAAATGAAACAATTTATAGTTCCTGGTTGCGAAATATTTATACTAATACAAATCCTTGCTGTGATCCTTTCACTTGGGTAAGAACCAATGTTTGAGGTCACTGTTGCGCCTGGGTGAGCGGATGCTACGTAAGGTATCTTCTCCTTTGACTGTACATATACTTCTAGAGGTCATTGTTGTGCCTGGGTGAGCGGATGCTACGTAAGGTACCGTGTCCTGTGTGCTATCAGTAGTTGCCATCTCGGTACTCCTGTTACCCAGACCGCGGGACCAGCTACGGTTTATATACCAGATGTACGGCAGGTTTATGTCGCCGCTATCAATGTCATATGAGGAACTATTAAGACTCACTTAAAACTATTTCAAACGAACCTTTCCGCGAAAAGCGAATACAGAAACACATTGCTACAATAGTTGGAATATATACGAGTCACCGAGGGTACCTGTTAATTTATTACAGCTATATCTGGACCTATTCTGTGGCGTTCAGAGTTATTTTACACGTTTTAAGGGCTTATTTCTCATGTCCTTGTGTGAAAAACCAGTAACGTTAATATCTGGGGCCGCAGAACAGGGAGTGATGAACCAGGATTGAATTCATACAGCTAATATATGTTGTGCATACAATGGTGTGATGGATCGCACTACTGTAGGCTAATTATTCCCGAGTCCGACAGAGTACACGTATGGTATACGTACTTATGTCCGATATAGGTACTGGGGATACCAGGTATGGTACTTATGTCCGATATAGGTACTGGGGATACCAGGTATGGTACTTATGTCCAATAGGTACTGGGGATACCAGGTATGGTACTTATGTCCGATATAGGTACTGGGAATACCAGGTATGATACTTATGTCCGATATGGGTACTGGGGTTACCAGGTATGGTACTTATGTCTAATATACAAATGTAGGTACTTGGGATACCAGGTATGGTACTTATGTCTAATATACAAATGTGGGTACTGGGGATACCAGGTATGGTACTTATGTCTAATATACAGATGTGGGTACTGGGGATACCAGGTATGGTACTTATGTCCGATATACAAATGTAGGTACTTGGGATACCAGGTATGGTACTTATGTCTAATATACAGATGTAGGTACTGGGGATACCAGGTATGGTACTTATGTCCGATCTAGGTTCTGGGGATACCAGGTATGGTACCTATGTCCGATATAGGTACTGGGGATACCAGGTATGGTACTTATGTCTAATATACAAATGTAGGTACTGGGGATACCAGGTATGGTACTTATGTCCGATCTAGGTACTGGGGATACCAGGTATGGAACTTATGTCCGATATAGGTACTGGGGATACCAGGTATGGTACTTATGTCCGATCTAGGTTCTGGGGATACCATGTATGGTACCTATGTCCGATATAGGTACTGGTGATACCAGGTATGGTACTTATGTCCGATCTAGGTACTGGGGATACCAGGTATGGAACTTATGTCCGATATATGTACTTGGGATACCAGGTATGGTACCTATGTCCAATATAGAGGTACTGGGGATACCAGGTATGGTACTTATGTCCGATAGGTACTGGGGATACCAGGTATGGTCCTTATGTCCGATCTAGGTTCTGGGGATACCAGGTATGGTACCTATGTCCGATATAGGTACTGGAGATACAAGGTTTTGTATTTATGTCCGATATACAAATGTAGGTACTGGGGATACCAGGTATTATGTCCGATATACAAATATAGGTACTGGGGATACCAGTAGGTACTGGGAATACCAGGTATGATACTTATGTCCGATATGGGTACTGGGGTTACCAGGTATGGTACTTATGTCTAATATACAAATGTAGCTAATATACAGATGTGGGTACTGGGGATACCAGGTATGGTACTTATGTCCGATAGGTACT